TGGCCAACGGAATGTATGTAGCAGTAACTTACATCACTTTACCACCTTGGTCCATAAAATCTTCCTACACAATTTTCTTGCTCTCTCTTCCCCATCTACTAGTTAGATACAGAGGCTCCTGCTCATAATGTTGAGTCACCAATGGAGTTATGTGTTAAAGACAGCAGAGCCTCTACCAGCCCAGGTTTCATCCCCCACCCCAACTTCATCACTTTTGGGTTCACTGGCCAAAGCAGGAAATTTTCCTTACCCATATTTATTTATTTGTGGGTGGGGTAGTACTGGGAATCGAACTCAGAACCTTGCAAGGTTCTGCAAGGCGTGGTGCCACTGAGCTACATTCCCAGCCCTCCTAACCCTTATTAATACACAATCCAAACCCCAAGGCTTTAAGACGGTTTTTTATTTGCTTTGACAGTTGTGCCTTGGTGTCTACAAGGCATTGGTTTCAGGATCCCCCTTCCCTACAGATACCAAAATCTGTGGATGCTCAAATCTCCTATGTTAAATGATGTAGTATTTATGTATAACCTGTGCAAATCCTCCTGTATAGTTTAAATCATCTCCTTTTTTTTTTTGACATTGTAAATAATTCCTGGATTATTTGTAATACCTAACAAAATGTGAATGCTAGGTAAATAGTTGTTATACTGTGGTTTTTTGTGCTTGTTTGTTTTTGAGACAAGGAAGGTCTCACTATGCAGTTGAGGATGGCCTTGAACTTGCTATGTAGCCCAGGATGGCTTCAAACTCACAGAGATCCTTTTGCTTCAGCTTCCCAAGTATTGAGATTATAGGAGTACACCACCATGCCCAGCTGGCTATACTATATTGTTAAAAGAATAATAACAGGGCCGGGGATTTAGCTCAGTGGTTCTCCTGCCTGCCTCAGAAGCACAAGGACCCAAGTTTAATCCCCAGTACCAAAAAAACAAAACAAAAGAATAATAACAAGGAAAAAAAGTCTGAATAAATTTGGTACAGATGTAATTTTTTTCAAATTACTTTTAACTCCTGGTTAACTGAATCCATAGATACGAGATCCACAGGTTCAGAGTGCCAATGGTATTTTTTAACATGACAAATCGATTCATCTGAAATGTTAATCAGGCAAGAAGAGAAAACCATTCTAAGAAAAGGAAAAAGAAGAAGATACTAGACCTACTAAATATCATTAAATATTGGCCAGCCATGGTGGCACATTACTATAATCCTAGCACTCAAGAGGCTGAGGCAAAAGGATGTCCAGAACTATGAGGTCAGTCTGGACTCTATGACTACAAGGGCAATCTGAAGTGCACAGTGAGACCCTGTCTCAAAAAAAAAAAAAAAAGTAAATAAATATTACAAAATTAAAACTGTGAATCTGGTAAATGAATAAATTAAGAGATTAATGGAGCAATATATGACCTAAAAACAGATACTGGTGTGTGTGTGTGTGTGTGTGTGTGTGTATGAATTTGATACTTCAAAGGAAATACTAGGAAAAAAATCATAGCTGTCTGATCAAAGAACACAGAAAGACTTTCTAATTTTAAAAGAGAAATAATCAAAGGAAAGATATTCAAAATTAAAAATCACTAAAAGCTGAAAAATACAACTCTAAAGAAGAAAAAGAAGTCACAGAAATTTGTTCACAGTTCTAATTTATAAAAGGGTCATGCAGAGTAATTTAAAATCACTAACACACAAAAGAAAAAAAGATAGTACATCCATGAAGAGAAGATAAAAGAGGAAAAAGTTTATTGGACACTACAATAGAATCAATGATCCCTGGAAGAACTGGGTAGGGGTGGAAGAAGTACAGGTAGGAAGTGATGTAACTAAACAGAAGAATTTCTATGAAGGAATAGCAGGAAGGCAAGCATTTAGCCCTTGGTGAAATAGTAAAGTATACTTCTCAGGGAAATTTTAAACAGCAGGGATACTAGAGGAAGACCCTGGGAGCCAAACTGACTATTGCTAAATACAGGGAGGAACAGGGCTGTCTCCAGACCCCACAGAATGTGACAAAGTTTTAGAGGAGATGTAATCCAAGCTGCAGCAACAGCAACAGAACAAATGCTGTATCTATTATAGAGAACAAATTCCAAAAGAGTATAAATCAAGGGCAGCTAAGGAAATCCTAAGCCTGCTGGGATGGGGACAGCAGGAGGCACACAATGTAGATGTGCCTATTGTCTAGAATGGCTCCACTGATGGATTGTGCTTAGCATCCACACTCAGAGAGTTCCTGTTCTATGAAATTTACTAGGTCAAAAGCTCATGAAATAATAAAACAACAATACCTTAGCATATGTAAAAATCGAAACCATGTCTGTGCAACACACTCATTATCCATTTCTGGAGGAATCAGACTGGCATCTTCATCAGGAACTTTAAATGGAGGAAATGAAGGACCATATGTAAAACGTAGCAATCTAAACAAGTAAAAAATGCATAACATTAAGTCTGTTTCTTAACAGAATGAAAAATATGTACAAACATGAAAACCTAAGAGAATATAGATGAAAACATACATACCTTACTTAAATTAACAAAGTATATGAAAACTGTCATTTATATAACAGACAAAATGAAAGAGATCTCCTGTTTTTCAAAAGATTTTTTGTTGTTGTTGTTGATTTTTTTGAGATAGAGTCTTGCTATATAGTTCAGGCTGGCCTTGAACTCACTTTGTAGCCCAGTCTGGCCTCATGGCAATATTCCTGCCTCAGCATCCTCAGTGCTAGGATTATAGGCATGCACCACCAGGCTTGGCTATTCAAAATTATTTTTTCAAAGTTTATTTGAAAAACTAAAAGTGAAGAGTGAGAGAGAAACTGGATCTATAGAATGAGTTCGGGCTGAGTAAAAGAGAAAAAAGCAGAGTAAAAGAACACCCTAGAGAAAGTAGGACAGGCTATCTTGAGGAAAGCCATGATAGATCAAAAGATTTTTTTAAACATATTTAAAATATTTACTACTTCTATTGCGTACAACTTAAAGGTAATTTTTGAAAGACTCCACTGCAAATCAATAAACTATATTTCATTCATAACAATTAACTTCACATGAAATTTAGAATATAATATTAAGAAATTTAGAATACAGTACACTTTTATATTGTGTCATAAAAGTAACTCAATAACTTAACTGTAATATTCTAAATATATTGCCTAGGTATGGTGGTGCACACCTATAATCCCAGCACTCAGGAGGCTGTGGCAGGAAGATCACTGCAAGTTCAAGGGCAGCCTGAACTACACAGCGAGATCCTGTCTCAAAAAAAAAAAAAGTGTTAAAACACCTAAAAGCCCTTTGACTCAAGTTATTTTATATCTAGGTATACCTTAATAATCATAATACATACAAAATCTGTATGAAGTATTCATGTCATAGTATTTCTAAAGTAAAACACTGGGGACAACATAATTATCAAAACCTCAGAAAAATTATTATTTATAATTTCAATTATATAATGGAACTAGTCATTAAAAATACAATCTGAACTATTATTTGAAAATAAGTTAAAGTGAAAAGAACAGATATCAGATGAAAAAAGGAGATAACAGTATATAGAATAATCTCAAATTGGTTTAAGAAAGGGAACTACATGAAAAATACATTAAAATGTTAATATTGATTACCTTTAAAAGAGCTGCTTTCCTCTACATCTTCCAAATTTTCTAAGTATGCACTGCTTTTATAATCAAAACAATAGCATCACTTAAAAGTAGATTCAGGGGAAAGGTATTTCACTCAGTGGTTCTACCACCTGTCTTGCAAACACAAGGTCCCAAGTTTGATCCCCAGTACCAAAAAAAAAGAAGTAGGTTCAGAACATTGATGTTCCCCCATGACATACCAGAAAAAAAAAAAAAAAATTCCAAAACTTCATCTTTTAAATGATGATAATGATCTAACATTTTATTTTTATTAGTATTTGTTCACAATACATATTAAATATATGTTTCATAGAGAACTGGTACATACACGTATCCCACCTTGAAGATCTAACACTTACTAGCTGAGACAAATCTATCCTCTGATATAAAACACTACCTAAAAAGTATCTTGTTTCCACCATCCATTCTCCCTGTCCCTAATCAAACCTAAGTCAGATAACATCTCTGGCGCTACCAGTTAATGAGAAACAGAGGATGGGTAGCATGTTAAATATGGTAAAAACGTAACTGAAAAAATTCAGAACCTGAAATACTCAATAATACAACACAAGCCAGATGTGGAAAGCACACCCTATAAGCACAACTACTTGCTGTGTAATGCCTGCTACTCAGGGATTACAAGTTTGAGGCTGGCTTCAGCACTGAAGCAAGATCCTGTCTCAAAATAAAAAAAAAAGGCCTAAGGATGCAGCTCAGCGATAGAGTGTTTGCCTACCACACATGAGGCACTGGGTCAAATACATAGTACTAGGAGTGAAAAAAAAAAAGACAACCACATTTCTTCAACAACAAATTCTAAAGAAATAAAAAATATGAATGAGAACCTACAGCTTAAAATAGACTTTTAAAACACATCAAGCAGCCAGGAATGGTGGAGCATGCCTGTAATCCCAGCACTATGGGAGGCTGAGGCAGGAAGATTGCAAGTTAAACCCAATATGGGCAACTTAGCAAGACCATGTCAAAATAAATAAACGGTAAGGGCTGAGGATTGTAGCTCAGTACAAAGGCTATGGTTCAATCCCCACCACCACAAAAGTTTACTAATGCAATTTCTGAACACTGCTTTCTTATTCAATGGAATCAACTATAAAAAGAAAAAGTACAGGGAAATTTGCACACTAGTTATCTGGTATTAAAAAACTGCCAACTTTTCAAGGCATGATAATGGTATTATAATTGTGATTTTAAAGGAATCCTTACCTTTTCAAGTTACAAATTAAAATATGTAGTTGAAATGAAAAGACTGAAAAAACAAAACCTGAGTTACTCACAGAACATTGGTTTATAGATATAAATGTTAAAAGGGCAATTTATTAAAAACTGCCTACTATACTCATTTCAGCTGCATGTGTACTAAAATTGGAACAATACAAAGAAGATTAGCATGGTCCCCATGCAAGGATGACTCACAAAATTCATGAAGTGATCCATATTTTTTTCTTTAAAAAAAAAATTTTCTACTCTAGTTATAAAGTATACTCTAGTCCTACTTCTGTAAAATTATATGTAAATATATATGAACAAAATGTCTGGTTAAAAAAACCCTGTTATATCTTTCTATGGTTTTTCCTTCAAAATAATGATCACGCATATTTTTATAATTAAAATTAAGAGTGAAATTTGGGGAGAAGATAGGGTACAGAATTTATCTACATCTCAAAAATACTTGATTATTGTGAAAGGTTTTAGATTAGACAGGCATTAACCAAACCGCTATATCTATTTTGTTAAAGTGGTTCAGTTCTATGTCTAAAGTAAAGGCTTTTCACAATGCACGCCATGAATCTCAGACATCACAGCGTAAGGGAGAAGCTACCTAAGGTCAGGTGATGAAGGAAGACAATCACCTACCTGGAAGTGAGTGCACAGATGACTTTGCTCCACTGCTCCACCACTGCTGGGTGGTGCCTCCAGTTAGCCACCATCTCCTTGGCTGTCTTCCAGTAAGGAGGTGTTGGGAAGCACCGGGTACAAGCTAGTAACCAAACCTCAAAGAGAACACCAATCAATTTCTCTGACAGATTCTCAGCAATGCCACCTGACAAGTGAAAGAAAATAATCTTTAACTCATTAGTTTGGAAAAACTGGTCAAAAATTAAAATACCTGCAATATTAAGTACTGACTTTCAAATAAATATTCAATAGTAAAAATGAAAATTAATTATTAGGTCTGCCTATAAAGAAAATCAGAGACAACATCAACAAGTCAGAGTGTTCAAGTGGCCTTGCTGGTTCTTACTGAAGATCTAACCTCCTAGCAAAGGGAACCCAAGTACACAAGGGAGAAAGGAGAGGATGAGTGATTACTACAAGTTAAGTTTCAATGTGAGAGATTATATTCATAGCCTCACATAATCCTCACATTATTTTTGCAGAATAGGCACTTCTAACATGTATTATCAATTAATTATACCATTTTGAAAACGAGTAAACTTAGGTTCAGGAAGATTAAACAAATCAACCGAGTTCATGCAGCCAACAAGGAAAGGAATCAGAACAAATACTCAGGTCTTCCTAGCTCCCAAGTTTGCCATAAAATGCTTCATGTGTTTGAAAGAAACCCTTCGAGAGAGAAAAATAAAGAAGCAAAAGGGCTGGTGCTGGGTATGAAAGAGCCTTAACAGAGCTCTTCCTCTTTTCCGAGCACTAGAACCAGAACGAGTAATAGCAGTGCACTTTACTCTGCAGTGCTCGCAAAGGCCAAGTTAGGACTACTAGGAAGAGTAATAAGGATGCATATTTCAAATGAACAAAACCAAAGGTCCAACAACAAAGAACCCATGAAGGGGATGAACTGCCTGCCTTGTGCTGCTGAGATCACTGGCATGGGAATTGAGTAGCAGAGTGCTGTTGAGACAATGACTGCCCAACTACTGTCATTACTGGACAGGGGATTCCTACCTGGGGGTTCCTTTCTATGCTAAAATTTTCTCTCAGTTACTTTTTCTTGTTGCTGAGACAAAATACCTGACACCCAAAGTTAAAAGAGGAAAGGTTTATTTAGCTCACAGTTTGTAGAGGTTTCAATTCTTAGTTTGCTGGCTCTAAGGCAAGGTGACACAGCAGAGGGGCATCACAAAGAAACAGTTCATGGCAGGCAGAAAGCAGCAAGACAGAAAGTGCCGAAGCAGCAAGTAAAGTAGCAAGCAAGAGACAGCAGCCCTCTTTCTGTTCTTTATATTTTATCCAAGCTACATGCCTTCAAGGGCACATAGCACTCATACGCAGGTCGAGCCTTCTCATTATCCATGCCCAAAACCATACAGAAACCCATCAGTGGACTAATTTAGTAATCACACATCCTTGATCTCAGCTTCACACACTTAATCCCAGCATCACACACTCTAAATCCAGCCACCTCTGAAAGGCCCCACCTATGATCACATGAGACTTTGGGCAGACATCTAGAACAAGCCATAACTAATTCCATGATTCCTTTTAGATATTTTCCTAGACACTGCACTGTGTGACAACATTTGCACATCCGCAAGTGTCAGTAAAGAGAGTATATAGCAAAAACTAGAATATCTGGAAGTAGAACATCAATTTACAGTTTATGTACACTGTGCTTTAACATACAAAGCACTAAAATACACTCTGAAATTTTATAAAACTGTAGGCTAGCGGGGAGGTACCAGGGATCGAACTCAGGACCTTGTGCTTACAAGGCAGACACTGGGCTCCAGCCTGGAAACTGTAGGCTTTTAAAATAGCTAATGAGGCCTGGGCCCTGATCCACCGTGGGAAGGAGAACCACGCCAGCTCCCATCCCAGCCGCCATTGCTCAAGCACCAGGAGGTAGCCTGGGCCCTGATCCACTGCGGGAAGGAGAACCACGCCAGCTCCCAACCCAGCCGCCATCGCTCAAGCGCCAGGAAGGTTAAACCCCCCGCCACCCCCGCACTCTCAGACCTCCTGACTGTGCCAGTCTTTGGACCCACTCTGCAGAGGCAGAGGTGGTCATCAAGGGTATTTTTCTGAGTTCCCAACTTTGAACATCTTTAAAGAAAGGGTGTGGGAAACCTGTAATAGAACGTTGTGGAGTTCAACCATTCAGAAGGTTGGGGAACTCAATCTGGCCCTTGCAGCCCGAGGTCAGTCAGCGTCATGAGGTTCAGCCATCAGCTAACTGAGATAAGGGGTCTTTCATCCTAGCTCTGTCTGAGCCATTAAATGGTAAATACACTGTATTGAAATTCTGTTCACTGCAGACATGTTCTGGACTGCTTCTTGATTTCAATTTAATTCAAATGATTTAAGGGTGATAGACTAGTAACTACCACAGGTTGTCAGTGTCAAAGTTGTGCTTGATCTTAATGTGTTGCTGATTGTATTGGTTGGGGTAAAGCATTTTCGTTGATTTGATGAGCTGTTTTCTCTGATGTTATGAAGATGAGAATGTCTGTGGGTCATTAGAGACACAGAAGCTAGGGCGCAACTATATCACGAAGATTTGGGTGATAATCCAGAGATTAAACCAAGGACAGTCCGACAACAAAAATTAAAATGAGAAAACACTGAAGCAAGACACAAGGACAGACTTCCAGTTTACCAATGGCAAACAGTAGGGCAAATGAGGATGAAAAGGCTGATAGTGAACCGCCAGGACACCCTGAACTCAAAGCACAGGAAGTAACAAAACAGATCAATCAGGCTCTAGAAAAAGTCAAAACAGAAATAAATTCCCAGATAACGATAGAGATAGTGAGCAAAATGGAAGTCGGGATTCGAGACTCTAGAGCAGAAACTGACAAAAAAATAGATGAGCTCAGGACCATGATAGAAGCCATGAAGGCCCAGCATAAGAAAGAAATGGAAAAAATAAACGCCCAACATAGGAAAGAAATGGAATCCATAAAACAGATTCAAACAGATATCCAGGAGATTAAACACTCTATTGAAAGTGTACGCAACAGAATAAAAGAATGCGAAGATAGACTCTCGGATATAGAAGATAAGATTGCAGTCAGTGACCATGAAAAGACAGGTCTCTTAAAAACAATAAGAGATCATGAGAAATGGATCCAACAACTCCTAGATGACGCAAAGAAGAATAACATAAGACTGATAGGAATACATAAAGTAGCAGGAGAAAATACAAATGACTT